CCGTTCCCCGGGACGCAGGACACAAAGGACAAGACTGGTTTATTACATTATTTATATTTGGACATTACGGAAATGGAGACAACACTCAAAGGGACGAACAAGAAGACTGACAAAAGGACTCTCGACTACAAAATCGCGCATGCTCATATCACACATGCACGCGACTAGACGAGACAGTTTGGGGAATGCCATCACACAGGAAAACAACACATCATTTTACAACAGTATGGGTATAACGTTACTTCGATTTCCGAAGTGTAGCTAATGTGTGTGTTGTGTGCGCTTGCTCGCACTCTTGTTCATCTGCATGAGCGTGTGTGTGCGTACGTGTGTGTGTGTGTGTGTTTGCGTGCGTGTGTTTGTGTGTGTGTGTGTGTGTGTGTGTGTGTGTATGTGTGTGTGTGTGTGTGTGCGATCCCTGCCAGCCTAATTGATATTGCACTGTCCCCCGGCGTCACCAGTGATTGGTTCGAGTTCCGTTTGTGGATCCTTCCTTTGCATCTTGGACTATCATCTCCACCTGCTGAATCAACTTGTCTCCGTGGCGCAATCGGTTAGCGCGTTCGGCTGTTAACCGAAAGGTTGGTGGTTCAAGCCCACCCGGGGACGACCACTACTTTTTTTGCAATAGTCTTTGGGCGCACGAAAGAAAGAAAAAAAGAGGGTGGACATGTTTGGAAAGTTTGGGCCAAATAGTAGCCCATATTTTTAATATTGCTTCAAAAATCAGAAGAAGAATTTATTGGTGCGGTGAATGCCGCACCTGCCGCGCCGGTCTCGACACCCCTGCTATGGTGTGTGTTTGTTTGGGATTTCCTACCGACTGTCGTGGATTGTGAAAAGAGAACCCAAAGGGCATAACCGTGACAACATTGCGACGTTACATCAGGAGGCGCTGGATTATGCCGAGGAACTTCTCTGCCGTACTGTTGTGGTGTTGTTGTTGGCATGATGTTGTAGTGTTAGTAGTTCATGAATGGCTGATCTAGAATCGGTGATGATGAACACTAGAGTCAGAATGTGTTCATAGGGAAGCTGACTACTGGTTGAAAATCAAGATCGTACTCACTAGGATCATTTCTATAGTACGTATCCCGTCTTTGTTCTCCTACAAAGACAACTGCATAAGCCACGAGGATGACATGTAGCATCCTCCCCTGAGCGGGAAGCGCACCAGCACGACAGCATCCATGTTTGGATGCAAGAGTGCTGGTGATTGATGACCGTTCTGCACTGTCCTTCTGGTCAGTGTGGAGGGGGAGGCTGCTTTATGAGTGGCTTTTCTTTATAAATGAAAAGGAATTTTGTTGCCTCTGTAATACCAAGAGTACATAACCCAGGGGCTATTATCCTCTTGGTAATGCCCTGTGCAGAATATGTGTCCAAATTAGGGCTGAAAAGGTTATTGTGAATAATCAGTTATGCAATCGTTAGGACCAAACAAACCGATAACTTTTTGATAGACGGCTACTTGTAGGCAGCGATTTTTAGAACATTTTGCGAAAAAGAACCTTCATAACTACCTCTCCTCTGATGGGTTCCGAACATCATAGGTGAACCAAACAAGGGTTATCAGGAGCAACTTCTAGCTGTTGTTGAGTGTGACTGGTGCAGTGTTTGTGCCGGTTTCTGCAAGCGTCGTCTGGTCTCGTCTGATCACAAGAATATTCCACCACTACTATTTGACGGACCTACTGAAGATGGCAACAACAAATTATTTTTTCTTCATAACTCCATCAATTCTTGTGGAAATTCGAATGGTCTGCGCTAAAAATCGTGTGGTTCCTTATGAAATCTTTGGACACAAACGCAACTGTACGGTCTTGTGCCAATCATTGAAATCGAACCCTGTGGTTGAACTTGCACATAGCATATGCTGTCCCACCACAGATCTACAACAAGCTCCGGGCTGAGCACCATGGAGTAGTAAAATACCGGCATTTTACCACTCCCTGGTGAGCACACGTGCAGCAGGATGCCCTGCATACAGTACTGTCCGGCGCCGAAAAACGGAGCGCCGAGGAGCGAACAGGCTAGAATTTCACCAGGCACAGCATACCAATGTATACACGGGCCGGTGACTCAACTATGTATAGACTGTAGTACATGACAATAAGAACGGTTTACGCTACGAGCCTGACCCGCCAGTTTGTCGATGAGCGACTGTACAGTAATCCTGTACACGGATTCCATTCGTTTTTTTTTTTTTTTACGAAGCCTCTTGTACGGGCAAAATTAATAAACCCATACAATCATGTCATGAAAATACAAAAGATGACCAAAATGATAAAGTAATAATTATTGTTTGCGTTCCGGCTCTCCACCTTCTCGACAGAAACACATGCCCATAATATCAAAAACGGGCAACGCCAGCTTCTGCAATAACAACCTCAGCAGAGACAGGATCAGCAGTGAGGTGAGCTGTGAATGTGCTGCGAGCCCCACGGAGGCACATGACGCTGGCACGCAATAATGCAAAGCTCAAGCGGCAGCGGAGGTTGGCCATCACGTTGCTGTAGGGCTCGGCGGTCTTCTCAGCTAGCAGACTAGCAATTCTCTTGTAGAATGCAGTGGCGCATCTGCTCATGCCCCCAGTGGTGGACAGGACGGCTGGGACGAAGGAGGCATGTTCGATATTGCGCACCCGCTGCTCATATGCCCTATTCTTCTCTCGCTCATGTTTGACATAGCAAGCGGCAATCGAGTTGGAGCGATTCGAGGACGCACGTGGGTTGAACACCCGAACATCAACAAAGGTGCGCTCGAATCGCCCACCCCAAATGCCACTTGCTGCCACATCTAGCCGGGCTTGGTCATCGGTGTTGGCAGACCGGTACCGTAGCTGTTCCCCTGTCAGTGGTTGAAGGTGGGGCTCCACAGCAACTTGATGGGCGACTTGCTTCAATGTCCTGGCGGTTAGGTCCCGGATCTCATTATGCCGGAGGGTTGGGAAGCCCCCTAGGGAACATGACAGGGCATGGGACACGGAGAATTCCTTCCTGCATTGACAGGATGTCGGAAGTCAGGGAGGTAGCCAGTTGTACCGCAGGCACACAGCGTCGCGAAACTCTCCTTTCGTGAGGTTGAAGCGGTGACAGCGAAGAGGTCTGCAGGTGAGCCAGCTGGAGGCGCCTTTTTCCGCTGCCAAATCCAGGGTTCTCTGCATGTCCGCCGACACCGATGAGCGGAGGAGCAAAGCATCAGCTCGAGCACTATCCCGGGTATCGGATCTGGCCTGCGCCTTTGCCTGCCGGACGCGCGCAATGGCATTGCCCAGCTCAAAGTCCTGTCGTAGAATGCATTCGGTCAGCGCCTGAGAGACCCGAACTGAAGACTCGTGTTGTTGGGCAACTGACGATGGAGGTGTCAGGCCCAGACCGCCGTGGCGACATGGTAGGGCGATCATTGCCCTCTCCGTGGCGTTAACCTGACGGCCAAGGAGAGCAGGAACAAGGCAGTTGGTGACTGCATCATCGAGCGGCGTTAACTGCTCAGCGAGACCGGGCATGGTGCGGCAAAGGAATGTCCACTTGCTCTGGAGGCCGCGGGTGAAGGCAGAGTACGCTGCCTGTGGCTGCGAGGTGGCTATCTCCCCCAGTCGCTTGACCTGCTGTGTCCATGTGGCTATCTTGCCGTCTGCGTACGCTGTGGTGAAGTCGGTGGAGCCGATCGCCGCACCCAGATACCGACAACCGTTGGTGTTGATGGTGACACCGGTGCCGTCAAAGATCTGGACTGCATCTGCGTAGAATTCAGGTTTCACGCTGAGGACGGTTTTCTCGGCATTCGGGTAGTACCCATAGCTGGGTCCCTTTTCGACCAGGAGATCCCACCATTGGCGAAGTTTGACAAGCTTCCCACCCGCACCCGAGTCGTCGGCAAACCAGGATTGGGTAGCTCCGTCGACAGCCACAGCCTGTATCAACGGGAGGACACCCAGAGCATAGATAGGCATGGCAATGGGGTCGCCTTGTGTTGTTCCTTCCGATGATTTGATGGTCTCTCCTCCCACATAGAGGTTTGCTGGATGGCGGTAGGTGTTGGTCACCAATGGCGACAGCGATGGACAAAGGTGCTGGATGTTCCTTAAACCCACTTCACGATTTAGGCTGTTGAAGGCATTCCGTGCATCTGCCAGGAGTATGCCCTCGGACTCAGGGTCTTCATAGACGCTTCTCATGGCGTGGATAGCTGCCTCTATGCCATTGTCATGACCTGTGCATAGCTGCAAACTTCCTGCTGCGTCGCGGATGTCATCGCCGATCACATAGAGAATTGCCTTCCCTAGAATGCGTCGTAGGACTTCCCCGATACCGATCGGTCGAACCCCAGGTTGCTTGTCGAGGGGGACCAGCCTGCAGGCAACATAGGCACTCAAGGATGTTGGGTCCAGATAGCTTGTCGCGAGTCTCCGGGCGCAGCTAGCCATTGCGTCACACAGTCGGTCTGAGGCCTCCGCAAATCCTGTGCACATTCTGCGCCACGTGTTTGCATCTACGCCAGAGGGGCCGGCAGCGCCAAACGTGTTAAGGGCAGCCTTGCGGATGAATGCACGTGTCAGCGACTCAAAGCGGGTGGGATGTGGAGGCACCGGTGGCTCTCCCGGGATCAACGCGTGCTCCTGCAATGGCTCTGCTGGTGGGTGCTTGTCCCACAGGATGTCCAGCACGGACTTGTCACCTACCCGGTCATCCAACTCCATTGGGCCTTTCATTCAACGTCAACTTTAAAAACTGTAGTGCAGGCAGAACGCTTGTGTGTACCATTCACTGCCTTTCTGGTTTTGCCTGAAGACCACCGGCTACACGATATGCAGCCCGGCTAGCTCAGTCGGTAGAGCATGAGACTCTTAATCTCAGGGTCGTGGGTTCGAGCCCCACGTTGGGCGCTTAGTGTTTTTCATTGAAGAGTTCTGTCTCGTGACCACCATAACTGGCTTAGTTCTCCGATTGACTCGCGTTGTTCTGTTTTCTTCCTTTTGTTGACTGTTTCCGGCATAGTTCTCTCGCAGAGCACGTCCGTGCCATTAATTTTGTGGAGTGACAGTCGCGGATGGGTCCGATGCACGTGGTCCAGTTATCTCCTAGCTTCTCGGCTAATCGGTTGATGCCACCCGACAGGCAGGCGGAGAGTCAAGAAATGCTTCACAACGGTCCAGCAGCATATTATCAGGTAAGCAAGTCGGCAATAGGATGTTCAGTCTTTGACGACTTTGTGGTGTGTCTGATATACACGTGTCCCACCGCTTTAGGAGCTGCATCTGCGCCTTAATCCATGGAGGGCGGTGGCGATCGTACAGATGCGGAAAACCTGCGCCTTGATCCATGGAGAGCGGTGGCGATCGTACAGATGCGGAAAACTCCCCCTCCAGCCGAGTCTCTCGCAAACTGTGAATTTGTTTAAGCCGGCATGTTATGTTTAGAGTACTGTAAAGTGAGAAACTTTTGCTAGAGATTAAATTTTGCAATTTTCGCGACCATCACACATTCGCGAATAGAAATCGTCGCAAACCTTTCCGCACATTGATTGTAGACAGTACAAGATCCGACTGAAGAGATGGAATCGCAAACGTTTCTGATCATGAACCAGCCCGATTTAAGAAAACGCTAAATTTTCACGCCGCGAAAGTTTGTCACTTTGACAGTACTGTGAGTGCTGTGAGTGTTCCAGCACTGTATGGGTATAACGTTACTTCGATTTCCGAAGTGTAGCTAATGTGTGTGTCGTGTGCGCTTGCTCGCACTCTTGTTCATCTGCATGAGCGTGTGTGTGCGTACGTGTGTGTGTGTGTGTTTGCGTGCGTGTGTGTGCGTGCGTGTGCGATCCCCGCCAGCCCAATTGATATTGCACTGTCCCCCGGCGTCACCAGTGATTGGTTCGAGTTCCGTTTGTGGATCCTTCCTTTGCATCTTGGACTATCATCTCCACCTGCTGAATCAACTTGTCTCCGTGGCGCAATCGGTTAGCGCGTTCGGCTGTTAACCGAAAGGTTGGTGGTTCAAGCCCACCCGGGGACGACCACTACTTTTTTGCAATAGTCTTTGGGCGCACGAAAGAAAGAAAAAAAGAGGGTGGAAATGTTTGGAAAGTTTGGGCCAAATAGTAGCCCATATTTTTATTATTGCTTCAAAAATCAGAAGAAGAATTTATTGGTGCGGTGAATGCCGCACCTGCCGCGCCGGTCTCGACACCCCTGCCATGGTGTGTGTTTGTTTGGGATTTCCTACCGACTGTCGCGGATTGTGAAAAGAGAACCCAAAGGGCATAACCATGACAACATTACGACGTTACATCAGGAGGCGCTGGATTATGCCGAGGAACTTCTCTGCCGTACTGTTGTGGTGTTGTTGTTGGCATGATGTTGTAGTGTTAGTAGTTCATGAATGGCTGATCTAGAATCGGTGATGATGAACACTAGAGTCAGAATGTGTTCATAGGAAAGCTGACTGCTGGTTGAAAATCAAGATCGTACTCACTAGGATCATTTCTATAGTACGTATCCCGTCTTTGTTCTCCTACAAAGACAACCGCATAAGCCACGAGGATGACATGTAGCATCCTCCCCTGAGCGGGAAGCGCACCAGCACGACAGCATCCATGTTTGGATGCAAGAGTGCTGGTGATTGATGACCGTTCTGCACTGTCCTTCTGGTCAGTGCGGAGGGGGAGGCTGCTTTATGAGTGGCTCCATTCTTTATAAATGAAAAAGAAAATATTTGTTCAGTTCTTGCGAAGTACTGTTGCCTCAGCAAGGCCATGTGCAGATCATTAGGCAGCAATGTTTTGAAGTTTTTGCGAAAATGCTTCACAACTCCGTCAAATCTTGTGCTAATTCTGCAATCGAAGGGTCTGTGCTAAAAATCGTGTGGTTCTTTATGAAGTCTTTGGTCACACATGCACAAGTGTCGTGTGCCAATTATTGAAATCCAACCCTGTGGTTGAACTTGCACGTAGCATGACATTGTGCTGTCCCGCCCCAGATCTACAACAAGCTCAGGGCTGAACACCAGGGAGTAGTAAAATACTGGCATTTTACTACTCCCTGGTGAGCACATGTGCAGCAGGACGCTCGGCGTACAGTACTGTCTGGCGCCGTAAAACGGAGCGCCGAGGAGCGAAGAGGCTAGAATTTCACCAAGCACAGTATACCAAGGTATACATGGTGACTCAACTGTACGTAGACTGTAGTACATTAATATAAGAAAAGTTTACATGAAAATAAGAACGGTTTAGGGGACATCCGTAAATACATGTATTTACTTAAAGACCCCTGTTAGACGTCTCTAAGTAAATACATGTACTTGGTCCGACTTATTAAAATGTGTGTTTCGCTTCGAACGTCAGCCAAACAAATTCAAATAATCTCAGGACGGAACAAACTTTCCAGCTACCTAACACTGTCCTTCAGTTGTCGATTTGTGATGTTGAAGAAGAAGGGGCTCCAACCCCAAAGGAGGCAGCGCCTCAGGATCCTAGTCGACTCGAGCATTTTGCGTGCGAATTTTGTCGTCAGAGGACTCCTGTTGCTTCTCGCGCAACACAGAGAAGGCCTGGTGCTGAAATCAACACCCCACTGCGATGGGGAATTGTCACGGAGTACCAGAAACTCCTGGGCGATCGTTCTCGAGTGCTTCCTGGCAGATTGAAATCGCTGCAGTCGCTGTTTCCTTGGAAGAATCAAGTTCAGCAAACGCGTCATCCAGAAACTCGTGCAGAAAGCACCTGCATCGCTCCGTCCAGTTTGTGCTGATCTTTCTCTCATTCGTTCACGATGTGGCGGCCGACGAATCAAGATCACAGAAGAGATCGTCGAGAAGTTGATCGATATAAACAACCGCCCTTGAGGTCGACTTTCAGGCGACCACCTGGCTGGAAAACTGAAGCGCAGAAAGGGTGAATACGGTGCGTGAATGGCGCGGAGTCCTCGCCGACTCTTCGGAGCCGCGATCGCGATGCGTCACAAGATCGCCAGTCTCCGGGGCCAGTGGATTTGTGAAACAGGCAGGGAAGAGCACGCATGATCTGATGCAGCTGACTGTGTGACAGTCATGTCGACACAGATCGGACTCATAAGTTCTACGCGCGCGGCACACGGTGATGAGAAGTGATGTTTTTATGCGTGGTGGTTTACTTGTTCGCCTCATTTGAAAGTCTCGTGGGAGCGTCAGGCGAAAACACCTACAGCCACCATTCTGGCAGTCGTACTGCACGAGGAGGAGGCGAAGTCGATCGTCTAAATCGTGTCTATGGAGTGAAAAAATCAAGGAAGCGCAGTGTAGCTTGGAGGAGATGAAAAATATGTCGACGTTTTGCAGGTCGACGCACTTGAAGAAGCGCCCTGAGACAACAGCAGAGATGAAAACTAGAAGGTCAGGGCAAGAAACGACACAGTAGTTATCTATCTATCGTCTCTTGGTCGATTTTTTAGTACAGGTGCTCCTTTGGACAGAGGCTTGAGTTTTGAAGCGAAGCGCACATTTTAATAAGTACATGTACCGTATTTCTCCGTTTATAAGTCGCACTCGATTATAAATCGCACCCCCTTTTTCAGGTTTGAGCAATATCGATTCGATATATTGACTTCAGTAGTGAGTCACGCTCGATTGTAAGTCGCACCCCCTTTTTTACCCTTGAATTTTAGTGTAAAAAGGTGCGACTTATATTCGGGGCAATGCGGTATTTACGGACGGCCTCTAATACATGAAAATAAGAACGGTGTACATGTAGATTAAGATAAGAATGGTTAGGCTACGAGCCTAAGGCCCGGGCACACCGAGCTCGATTCAGGCGTTCAGCCGAAAAAGCGCTTGTTTATGTCACTATTACCATGGAAATAGCTGAAAAATGTCCTACAAGCGACTTTCAGCCGTGGCTGACTCTCAGCCGTTTTTTTCCGGCTTGTTTCAGCCACAGCTTGTACAAGCGGCTGAAAGCCGAAGTTCAAAAAATAATTCGAGTGCGCTTGGAGCACACCATGTAGCTAGTTGACATGATGAACTGATATTGATGTTCTTTCTTGTGTCCGTGGAACCGTGCTATCCCTGTGCCTTTGGTTTTGACCGTGAGTCTGTCTATCCAACTACACTGTATTCGGTTTGATTTGGATTTTGTCCGACGACCATGGATTTCTGCCGCTGTGCCTCTAGACTGCTGCGTAGATTGTTGGAGCTGTGGTTTGAGGCCAAGACAAGGCACCACACTCGCGACCGAATTCATGAAGAAAGCCGGGTACGAAAAAGAGAGTGGATTGCAACTGAGTTGAAGAACGGCAACCGGCGGGGCAGAAAGCTCGACATCAGGAAACACCACCCGAACCATAGCGTCCATGCACACCGAACAAATAAAAAGAGCACGACTTCGCAATTCAGAATCCGGGCTTCCTTTGCTTCTTCATCAAAACTGAACACTAGAACAAGTACAGTTTTAGATCGCGAACGTTCTGCTTTCCGGTTTCTTGCAAACATTGGTGTGTTTCGAGATAATTATTCAAAATTTGGCGGGTAAGAAAAACAAGCCATTCAAGCTTTGCACTCAAGGTCTGGTGTGACCGCGTCACAGGGACCACGCAAGCCAGCTGAGCGCCAGCGATAACAAGCCCAAAGTGGCTTGTTTCGGTGTGACCGGGGCCTAACCCCCGGTTTTTCGATGACCTACGGTACTGTATTCCCGTACACGGATTCCATTCAACGTAAACTTTAAAAACGGTAGTGTATGCAGGATGCTTGTGTGTGTGCTGTTCACTGCCTTTCTGGTTTTCCCTGAAGACCACATGCTACACAGTGTGCAGCCCGGCTAGCTCAGTCGGTAGAGCATGAGACTCTTAATCTCAGGGTCGTGGGTTCGAGCCCCACGTTGGGCGCTCTCTTTTTTTGTGTGTCTTTTTTGCTTCTTCAACTGTGTCATTGAAGGATATAATTATGTGCCCTGATGGGCCGTAAAGCACGGCAGACATACAGGGCCAGATCCAGGGCTGTAAATGAGGGGTGCCCAAAATACGGTGGCAAAGTTTCTTTTAACATATTGATCATAGTTACACCATCACACGCCTTTGTGGCAAAACCTGACCTCCCCCCCCCCCCATACCTGGCTTGTACTCTGACGAGGCATACGCTTTCCAGGGGCGTAGCACCCGCTACGACTGGTACGACCATGGCCGTACCACTTTTCGAAAAGGGTGGTCCGTCTGGAACGTGCAAAACCGTAATAAAAAAATCAGGATCCATAGATGCATGTATGCGCATCAGACTATGACCTTTTTCTAGACTTGTACTCGTAGATCTGCCATGCATCTGCAGTCGTACTGAGTACTGTACTGTACTCGACTGCACACTGCGCCAGAAGTGTGCCAGAAGTTCCCAGAACGCAGGATTTTGTGTCTTTTTTACAAAATTTTCCCGGGGGGCGTCCCCCGGACCCCCCCCCCCTCCAACACGGCCTTTGGCCGCGCCGACCTTTGGTCGTACCACTTCCAAAACCCCTCCTACGCCCCTGCTTTCATACAGACCCTTTATTGGTGGTGGTCAGAGCTGGACCAACATTCGGGCTGCCTCTTTTTTCCTTTCGCCGGTCGATCGGCAATCGCAACATTTGTTCCAAGAACGGCACCGATCAAGTGACCAACGCCTGCTGTCGCCTATAGCACAGTGGACTTTAGTGTGTCCACATGCATTGCAGTGGCATCCAGAACAGTGCGCACGCACAGTGTTTATATGCATAACGTTGAGAAGAACGGCAGGAGCATCTCAGTTTCCTTGGGCCACGGCCACTCGACTCGGCCTGCAAGCAGTGACATATTGCCACTAGTCTAGAGACCATGCTACCCACGTTATGGTAATGGTACTTGTCTGTGTCTGTGCCGAATCACAGGATACCAGCCATGGCAACGGGTTGGCTTTCTGGTCTATTCTATTCTATCTTGAGAAATAAATGCGGCGGGCTGTAGACACTACTAGCAAGGTTTTTTTTTCATTCACCATCCCATGGCAACAGGCAATATAAAGGAAAGGGTGTTAGCCAACCATGGCGGTTTGTTTACTAGACGCATTTCTAAGCTATTCTTTGGAAAGTGCCAGTCGATGACAATTATAATAATTACGATTAAAAAAGAGAGGACCATATTAAAGTTTACAAGTCCTGACTTATGGTCCTCTCATATTTAATTTTAATCCTTGGCTCTCCATCCGAGCCTAAATAATAATCATGTGTTCGTAATTCTGCCGAGGCTGCGGTATGAAAGGTCTAAGGGATCAGAATGTCCATGGTTCTTGATGGGACCTTGATGCCATAGAAACTGATAACCACATATCTTGCTCAGCGGACCGGCGCACCAGAGCGGACAATGTAAAAATGCTAAAAATTAGTGTCACCATAGCAACCAACCGTCTGTTGATTGTGCTGCTGTCTAAGAACTTTCATGTCACACCGATGTAGTTGACACGTGTTTACATTGTTAGGATTTCACTTTCGTGTTGCATGAATGTCTACATTGCTTTGGATTGGTGATGATAGACGCTGGAGTCAAAATGCGTTTATTAGAAAGCTGACTACTGGTTGAAAATCAAGATCGTACTCACTAGGATCATTTCTATAGTACGTATCCCGTCTTTGTTCTCCTACAAAGACAACCGCATAAGCCACGAGGATGACATGTAGCATCCTCCCCTGAGCGGGAAGCGCACCAGCACGACAGCGTCCATGTTTGGATGCAAAAGAGTGCTGGTGATTGATGACCGTTCTGCACTGTCCTTCTGGTCAGTGTGGAGGGGGAGGCTGCTTTATGAGTGGCTCCTTTTTTATTGAAGTCAAAGAAAGTCTTTCACTTGCATATCCTATGAAGCTACCCTTCAACTACAAGAAACCTAGTTGAAATACCTCCCCATGTTGCAGTACAATGCCACCTGGTTTGAATTGAGGTCTAAACTGAAGCACACTTGCAGCCCTGAAGTTCATCATGATTTTCACCCATGTCCTGAGGGTGCTTTGGTCAAGTCAGGCCTTGTGATAATAGAGAGGTTCCGGGGTACGATTTTCCGTGCCAAAATCCGTGTGGGCGCTACGGATTTTTTCCAGGAGTGCTCCATACGATTTTTCGGCACGGAGAATCCGTGTGGACTGGCTTTCACACGAACCATGTTTCTTATGGAGATTTTGCGTCATCGGGTGCAGAAAGATTTTTCGCGTACAAATTTGGTACGAGAAACATGGATTTTCCGCGGGAAGTTTTGATTTCGGTACAAATTTTCAAAATATGAAGGCATAGCGCGGGAATGTGACGTGTTTGCGATCGTAACCTAGGCAATGACGGCAAACACATAAGTTCCGTACTCCGGAACATTTCACCGCTCGAAAACGACGTATAAAAAATCCGTAGCGCCTCTACGGATTTTGGCACGAAAAATCGTACTCCGGAACCTCCCTAATGCCATGGAAGGAGTTGATGTGCGGCACCGGACGTGTATAGACTGTAAACCTGAAATCGTTTGCTTTAGTTTGCGAATTGTGATGGCAGACCAGACCATTTTGGGCCTGCAACCGTTTGCGATTGGTGTCAATAGTTCGCATTTTGTGCCCACTTACAGTCGTGATTTCACACCTATCGCGAAAATCACGAACATTGCTGGGTTTCCGGTCCGCTGTTCAGACTTCACTGCCTCTATATAGAACTCGGGCATCAAACACCTGGCTTACACGCGGCATATGCACTATGTGCAGGCAAGTACCGGGCTACTCTGTCCTCACGGTCCTTATCTGTCTTCGTCTGTCTCTTTGCCATTAGCCTGTTTTGAGGTCTCTCTCCCTCTCCTCGTTTTCTTCATTTTGCCTTGTTTTGCAGCATCATTCAGGCTTCAAACTGAAGCGAACTCTGAGTGGAAAATATGCTACTGCGTTGTGGTCCTAATCAGTGGAAGTGGCAAGAAGACTCTGCTCAGAAGAATGCCAAGCGGAGCAAGAGTGCGCAAAAGTGGATGAAGACATTAGACAGTACAGTGCTGTAGGTGACAAAGAACAGGCGTGGAAGAAAGGTGTGACGAAGGACGGTGTTCCGAAGGACGACATGCCGAAGGAAAGCCTGTCGAAGACCGATGCCATGCTGAATAAGCAGGTTAGAAGTTTGCTATGTACAGTGTAACAGTGCTGTCCCACGCCGCAGAACTGGGGGCCAGAATCCTAGCCTAGGCCATTCGTATTCTTCATGTGCAAGTCTAGTCAAGTCTATGTACAGTTGAGTCACAGGTGCAGGCGTAGATGTCAGCATGCTGTGCGTGGTGAAATCCTGTTTGTTCTTCCGCGCTCCGTTCTTCGGCGCCCGGCCGTACTGTAGTGAGGGTTTCTTAATGTGTGCAAGCTCCACTGCAGTCACTTCATTACATCATACACGCACCATCCTCGAATCAAGTGGTCTCTTCGCTGCAAATTACTATATCTCAACACCATGATCGATAGAGACTGAGATATTGTCATTTGCAGCAAAGAGACCACTTCATTTGAGGATGGTGCATGTAGGGTTTTTCATATAGTGAGGGTTGTACATAGAGAGGTGTGGGCTATGGGCTATACGCCGTGGCTCTTGTCCATCTCATCTCAGATGGTAAGGTTGCGCACGTTGTTCACGGTCTTCGCGAGTTTGCCCGTATGCCATGGACGGTAAAGCATGCAGCCCGGCTAGCTCAGTCGGTAGAGCATGAGACTCTTAATCTCAGGGTCGTGGGTTCGAGCCCCACGTTGGGCGCTTCCTTTTTTCTTAAACGAATTTTTTTCACATTTGCAGACTGCATATGAGTTAGGGCATGTTCGATTGATTGGATCCGGATCCAGATCGATAGGCCTTACGCACGTTGTACAGATGCCCAAAATCCCGTATAATCCCGTAGACCCGGTTGGGTGTTGAATGTGCAGGACCCTATTGTGTTTACTGCTATTTTCACTACGAAATGAGCCCTGAAGGCATTTCATCCGAAAACGTTTTCTGACAAAGATCTAGCTAGTCATTAGTTCAATCCCAAAGTGAAGAAGCTAGAAAAGCGATTGTTTGCCATAAATTATGAAGCTAAAATGGGTCAAACGCGCACGTATAGCACACAATGAACACTCAACCACCACACTCCATCATTCACCCCAGTGTCTGGAGATATGTGGATTTTGTAGAAAAAGAAAGAAAGAAAAAACCGGGTATGTACACACCTATGGTCCTAGTACAGAACTTCGTACATCTGTACAACATGCATAAGGACCATTGAGTGGATGGTGCTTTGGATCCACCAAGGTCCAATCAAATGCTGCGCTTGATCGAATCTGGAATTTTAGTGATTTTGAGGGTTTCCATGAGAGAAAGCAACGATTTCCGCATCATCGCTTTTATTCCCGCCATTTGTACACATATCACGTACAGAGTACGAAGTTTGGCAAGAAAAGATCTGGTGGATCCGGTCAACCCTGCTCCCCGAGGTGGGTTGACCGGATCCAAATCCAAAGGATCCGAGTCCGGACTCGACCAATCGAAAGGGTGCGAATTCAGTGGATCCGGTTGATCTGGATCCGGATCCTACCAATCGAACATGCCTCTAGGAACCTGCAAGATTGCCAAGCATGTCTCCGTGGCGCAATTGGTTAGCGCGTTCGGCTGTTAACCGAAAGGTTGGTGGTTCAAGCCCACCCGGGGACGAATTACTTTTTGCATTCTTTTTCAAAATTTTGAGCTGAGACGAAAGAAAAAAAGTGAGCTGTTCCCACACCGGGAATTGAACCCGGGCCGTCTGGGTGAAAACCAGAAATCCTAACCACTAGACCATATGGGACGTGCACACTAACTCTATTAGGAAGAGTAACTGAGCTTACGAGAGTTTTGCAACTCTCGGCGAGAACTCACATCACGAGTTCAAAGTATGATTTGTACCACGTAAAACAACGGCTAGCGTGCGCGCAGTCCGAATGATCAATCATCATCGCAGACTGGTCATGACGATGACTCGCATAACTTCAAGTGAGCTGAGTGGATCTCTGTTAGCGAGGGTTTTTTCAACTCCATTGGTCGCTGAAGGCTAAACAGGCAGGGCCCATACACGGGGACACTACATCACGTGTTGTGAGATTTCGCTGTCGCCGCCGGACCCCATAGAAAGGGTACTAAGAGTTGCACACTCTTGGGAGCTTGTGTACTATTGCTAAAAGCTGTACGTATGAATGTCAAGTTTAACCTGGGGGAGATGCAGCCGACACCTTTAATTCACCGGTGAAGGTGGTATCTCCGTTTGCGCAAACCTAAGAAATATTCCGCAAATAGGCACGTTTAAATGCAAAAGGGAAGTAAAAATTGCTTGACAACACTGGCGTAACACATTGTCAGTTGGTGATTATCATGGTGCCGTCGTGTAAGCCAAACAATCATCAATGGTCAGCGGAGTGCCTCCAGACTCACTAACATCTCTACCCTGTAGCACTCACCTTCCCATTGGCCTCTATTGTCTTTTGCATGTTCTCACGTTGACCCTTTCCCGGTGGAGCAGTGTTATTGAAGTAAAAAAAATCGAGTTACACCTGTTGAAAGTGGTCGGTAGTGGCTGGCTGGTCGCTAGTCGCGGTGTATGGTAGTGCCAAGCAGACAATTTACCGAACATAAGCCGGGAGTTCATTTCTAGAAAATTTATGAAACACGCAATACAGGTAGACTCCCTCTAATTCGAATACGTTATAATTCGAACATTCCGTGGAATTCGAACTTTTTCGTCGTACCGATCTCCTGCAAGTCACTTCAAGTCGAATTCGAATGTGTAATTCGAAGTACGAAGCGTGCACCGATTGGATAATTCGAACCCTGCCTTCGTACAGAAGAGCTGTTTACAGTAGAGGTACTATGTCCTTCGAACGCTTATTTCGAAGTGAGATGGAGTTACTTCGAAGTACTATAATTGTAATTCGAAGCTCATTCTTTTGTCCTTCTCTAGCCAAGAGTAGCTCAAAAATCGATCCCTGGTCCACTCCGGGATCGACAGTAGCGTTCAAGAAACCCACCTTCTCTCGAAATTTGATTCAAGCTCGTGCGAGGCAAAGTGCAAAGATTCGATTGAAGACGACTTCTTCCAGGGGGCTGACTCCGTTTGCGGATCTGGTGGCCTTTCATGCCGCGCCAGCTCGCGCGCAGAGATGTTTGCGAACAACACAACACTCTTGACTGGAAGTCGTAAAATAATATTCGTCTATGCCTATGCTCCACTTCCGTTCCCCAGAACGACGTGCTGCTGTCCAACGGCCAATCATGACGCGGATTAGGCAGCGCTGTTCTTTTCCTTGAAATTGTTTCAGGACAGCTGCAGTGCCAGACAACTTCTTCACTAGAAGATCAAGATATGGGCCTCAACCAGCGAAAACAGCCCTTAGGGACAACATTTTCAAAATCTCTTTTTGGTTAGAAATTTGTTGAAACACATCTCCTGGAGGACCTCAGCCGAGAAAAAGTTCAATATTCCGATTCAAAACGTGTGTATACACCAATATACAAGATGTACTCCTAATTGGTGCAATTTATGTATACGATGCATGTGTACAATAAATATTCAGCATTCTAAGGTGGGTGGGCTCTTGACTACCTTTGAAACAGTGCAGTAGGCAGCTAGAATGACAAAGAATAGCTGAAGAGTGCGGAGACATGATCGACATATTCGCAGCTGCAACCTGCGTGTAGTCGTTCCGCAATCTCGTCTTCCATTTCTTCCTCAGCAACTGAAGACATGGCGTCGCTGCCGTCACTAGCCCCAGACTCAGAATTATTTATTTCAGGTGACGACTGTTCATCTTCCGACTCTGACGAGTCATCGGCCACCTTGAGCAGGACATGCCGGCTGCGATTCCGCCTCGCTGTCGACATGGATGTCGGAACCAAAGAACGTCTCATCCTCACTCTTCAGCGGCTACTTCAGCATCCGCTCCCCACGAGGCTCAAGCTCGCTGTACACAATGACAGCCGCGTGTGCTCGGCGAACAGTTCTGGCGTCCGCAGCCATCGCAACAAGATCAAGGAACACTCGAGTCGCAACTCGACACCACTTCAACTTCAAATAAATTACTTCAAGCAAGGAGCTCAAGAAGAACTCGTCGTGCTGTTCGCAGCGCGATCAAAAAATCGTTGAACGTCACAAATCGACCTTTTTCTCGAAAAAATTACGAAACCTCTAAGGGTCGTTTTCGCTGATTGCGGCTCATATCATCTTTGTGTCGATCCAGTGTTTTATTATAAAATGGCCTGGTCCATTGTACATGACCAACTTTGTTTTGTTGATGCGAATAAAATGTGCGAAAATAGTCAGCACGCGATTTCGAGCATTTTGACATACATATCAGTGCATTGGGCTGCATTAGGATAATTAGAAGTTCATGATAATTCGAAATTGGGGCCTGGCAATTTGAGGTTCAAATTAAAGGGAGTCTATATGTACTAGTATCCGCTTGAATGTATAAAAAACGCTCCTTGGGAGCCGATGAAGGCTCACACTGGTCTTGCATTGTTCCGTGCAAACACGGATTTGCATACTCCGTGTGTAGGAATAGGTGAATACCTCCAACAATCTTAGTTTCTTTTTTTTTTATCTTCGTTGTCAATGGCATCCAGCAGCCCGGCTAGCTCAGTCGGTAGAGCATGAGATTCTTAATCTCAGGGTCGTGGGTTCGAGCCCCACATTGGGCGCATTCTTTTTTTGCGGTTGTTTTCTTTCCACGAACAAGACTGGTGCATCCCTGATAGAGCCAAGCCTAGCCTCAGTGCTGGCTGTCCGTCAAATACCTACATGTACCTACCTGATCTAAGGAATTGCCTTCTGTGGCTACTGCCAAGAGTATATTTACAACTAACCCCCAAGAGTGTGCAACTCCAGCTAGGGCGGTTTGACGATGGTAAAGTAGGTCTCTGGACAGCTAGCTGTGTCTAGTTTCTACCTTACTCATCAGCGGCACTCGGAGTCACTGGGCGAACCGATCGCAGTCAAGTCTAGTTAACAACACAGTCATGAAACATCTGTGCAAGAACCGTCAAATGCTGTGGGGGATTTTCCGCCTCTCGGATGCCCAACCCCAGAGTCAACTGTCTGCCCACGAAGACACTTCAAAGTGTTTATCAAAATTCCGATGCATGACCACATTCTACTCGGATGTTTTTTTCATGACCATATTGTACAACATTCCAAAACTTGTGCCCAATCAAGCCCAGCAAGTGTAAAAAATATTCCGTGCCTTGCTTCAACATGCTCTTGGGCTTATGAAAAATCAACTTGTCTCCGTGGCGCAATCGGTTAGCGCGTTCGGCTGTTAACCGAAAGGTTGGTGGTTCAAGCCCACCCGGGGACGAGTATTCGCTCTTTTTTTGCAATCAATTATTGTATAAATTTTGAGACGAAAAGAAGAAAAAAGTTAGGTGTTCCCACACCGGGAATTGAACCCGGGCCGTCTGGGTGAAAACCAGAAATCCTAACCACTAGACCATATGGGATTGCACATGTTGGTAATAGTTGCGAGTAGAACATCAGCATAATTATTTTCTTCTTTCTTTTTTTTGCCAGGACTCAACGAGATATATTTTCCATCGTACAACAACGAGAAAAGCAAATCAAAGACAATTGTACGGCTATCTCGAACAATAAGCACTATGCAAGATGTCTATTCAGTATGCGCTTCCGCCACTGCAAGTGTGGCAGAAGCACATTACCTGAAATTCTGAATGCGTCGTTACTAGCCTAGAGCAAAGGTGGATGACCTTGCCATCTCCTTTGTCTCACTAAAGCTGTGCTTACATGAGAACTGTCAACCTCGGTGGGTCGAGTTCCACCCGGGTTGAAAGTCTGCACAGTGGAAAAAGTAGGTGGGTGTTTACATGAAGAGAGTTGACCCGGGCCGAATACAGATATGGCGACAAAAGTCCACTTCCAGAGTCCTGTATGGTCGCGTGACAACTTTCGCACGAAACATGCGTGTGCAGTGTTGTGTAAGCCTGGCACGAAATACACATTATGTACGGTAGTACGATTTCTTGATTTTAACTCTCCCGGGTTAAAATGTCAACCCGGGTCAAGTGCAGTGGTTCTTGCAAACAATCCAGTCAGTCTGTGAGTCACAGCGGGTTGAAATTTGTAGGGGTCAAAGGGGTGTTCCGGGTACTCGGGTACCCGCCCGTTAATCTCAGGTACCGTTAGTAAAAGGGTACCCGTTTGGATTTCGATGATCCAGTCAGTATGGAACGACACTGCTGGGATTGCGCATTCCAGGCGGAAGTCAATTATTTACAACTCCACGCTGGATGTCTGCATTGCTGTTGCATTTGTGAACCTAGTAGATCTACCTCTGCAACTATCAGGCACAAATCAATTTGCGAATCATAATGTGATGTCAAAATTCAACCTGAGAACAGATAAATTAATGTCAATATTTATGTGAAAACTGCGCAAAAATTAAACATGGCTGCTAAAGGGTACTCGTTAACCCGCTCGTTAAGAAAATTACCCGTTCGTTAGTTAAAGATACACCCGTTTGACCCCTAGAAATTTGACCAGGATCAAACTCCATAAAATCACGGTTCGCGTCAGACTCGGCTAGAGAGGCCGTTTTTCCCCGCATCTGCAGGAACGCCACAACCCTTCAAGGTTCAAGGCGCAGATGCAGCTCCTAAAGCGGTGGGAGGTGAGTAGATCAGCTCAGCAGCAAGTCGGATCAAAGACCGGCGAATATCCCATTCACTGCTCACACTGAACTCTGGTTGAAAACTCTCATGTAAGGCCAAGTAAAAAAAATGATTGTTTATCGTCCGCGCCCGCCCCAAATGTTCACCCTCCCCGCCGAATGATTTTATTTTTTAATACTGGTAAATGTACTGTATGTACTGCGGTCTACAGCCTCTAATCAGCATAGCCATAGATTTTCGAAGGTCAAGTCCACAGACTGAACCATAACTTAGTTGCTATGGGCTTGAAAAGTGAAACTGATCATAAGCTGCCTGATTTTCTTCGTTTTTTCTACGTAACGTTGGTTGTTCCACTTTCCATTATCCTCTGGGGTTGCGAACACCTGCCCTACAGCCATAAATGCATAATAAAAAATATAATTAAAAACCTCCCGTCCGCCCCGATTTCTCGGGAAAATCTGACGATAAACAATCAATATATTTTACATGGCCTAAAAGCAGCCTGATATCATCATCCCAGCGGGAATGCGGCAAAAACATCATAATCCGAAATTCCACAGCAATTTTTAAACCAGAGTGCCAAAATCGTCGTTTGACACTGCCTGAAAAACGCAAGAATATGAAACTATCTACTATGCACTATGCACTTGTGTCGTGTTGCATTGCATCTGCCTCTATGATGTACCAGGTGTTAGTGGCCTTCGTGAGTTCCCTTCAGGAACGGACACCATAATTTACTTTTCTATTTACTGCAACTGTCATGACTATAATTATCTGAACCAAAGCAACATATGCACTCTATCCCAGGAACGTATCTCTCTCACGGTGCGTAACCATGGAGATACTAGCGCATAGCCAAGCACAGTGATACGGTACAGTAGAAATGGACGGTTTTGAATAGGGATGCGGGCTCAGCATATTACTCATGCTTGTACATAGGTCTTAATAATCGGTGATGATGGACACTGGATTGAAAATGCATTTATAAGGAATCTGACTGGTGGTTGAAAATCAAGATCGTACTCACTAGGATCATTTCTATAGTACGTATCCCGTCTTTGTTCTCCTACAAAGACAACCGCATAAGCCGCGAGGATGACATGTAGCATCCTCCCCTGAGCGGGAAGCGCACCAGCACGACAGCATCCATGTTTGGATGCAAGAGTGCTGGTGATTGATGACCGTTCTGCACTGTCCTTCTGGTCAGTGTGGAGGGGGAGGCTGCTTTATGAGTGGCTCCATTCTTTATAAATAAATGAAATGCAATATAGTATAGAGTGAAACCTGTCTAAGACTACTGCTCAAGGGACCTTCACAAGGTGGTCTCCTTATCCAAGGTCATTTACCTGGGCTTGGCCGGTGTTGGTGCTGGTCGCAGTTGTTTTCTTTGACAGTTGGTCGCCTTTTCTGAGTGGTTACATTGACAGTATTTTACTGTGCATAGATATCTTCTTTTGCAAGTTATTGTGGAAAGTGGAACTCTCAGCGGCTCCACCAGTGCTTCACGGACACGGTCAGTGCAGCACTGTGATATGTACAGTTGTGGCAAGTGAAATCCGACACTTGCCATAGGGGACAGCGCCTCAAATGGACATCAATGATGTAATGCACTGCACCTAATTTGTACTATAGAGCCATGCATCCCAAACAGGGCGAAAGGTCACAGCTTAGATACACACAGTTCACAAACAAAGTACACATAAGGAGTATTGGTATCCAATTCCCATTCATTTTTGCCAGCACCTTTTGAACCTTGACTGTGCTGAGTACTGTTATCAGATAGATAAAGTAAGTTGTATGCAGCACATGTACTGTACGTATGCAGGGCTGCAGAGGCTGCAGGATGCACGGTGCAGTCCCTTATGCCAAGTGTCGGATTTCACTTGCCACAACTGTAGATCCATGCATGTCACCAGAGGGAGAGGTGGGGTTCTGAGGATGCGGATGACCCCTACTCAGGTTTTCTGCCAAGCGGCCATCCGTAAATACCGATATTTTTTTAAAGACGATATTTGTTCATTTCTCCCACCCCCCTCAAAATGAACATACACACGTTTATGGAGGGGATCAATAATTTTTAATGAAGTGCAATCTGATTCTCCTCGTGAAACGTGTGCAGCAGCAGCAACTCCAAATTCACGGTACACTTACAGACGTCGGTTTACACTGCCACCACCGCCGCGATCGCACAACCTTGCCATAGCCACATGTACACTGTATCCAGTTGATGAGGTGGAGTTTCAATTTCCGTAGGTCATAACCTACTTGTCCGTACTGGTCCCACCCATATCTAGAGATATCAATATTAATTTTTCACAAAGACGAGACGAACAGGGCCCAACCCCCCCCTAAACGAACCAATATCTTCTCTCGAAATATTGATATTTGTGGACGACCCCAACAGCTTTGAAAAATCGATAAAGGATCACCCTCGTATATTAGGCATGTACTTGTTAACAAACGCAGCACGTAAGCTGCTGAAAGTTTGGATGAGGCCATTCGTACCATTGCTCTCCCTCTCTACAACTCTGACACAATGGTGAAAAGAGCAGTAGGAAACGACCTCATACAGTGAAACCTGCCAAGGCGACCACTCGGATAAGGCGAGCACCTGTCCTAGAAGACCACTGCAGCAAGATCCAGGGTAAGTACTGTAAAAGCAGAAATTTTCGGTGGTGTAATATTTTCGGTATTCTCCAAAACCGGCGGTTCAGTGGAGGGAAATTTTCGGTAAAACCCGTTTTCCAGGTAAAGTGTACTAGTGCTAAATGTACACAGTACTGGCGGTAGTACCGAAATTTTCGGTGCGTTTTATTTTCGGTAAACATTGTCGGCACCGAAGTTACCGAAAATAAAACACCACCGAAAATTTCTGCTTTTACAGTACTCTAATTTCAGAAATTTTCGGTGCTCAATTTTTTCGGTACGAGGGCAAAAGGCCAGGCTAGGTGAACAGAAATGTTCGGTACAGAGAAGCAGTTCCCTATTGGATTATGCGTGTTTAGTGTTTGTTCGGTGTATTGAACTTTTAGGTATGAAACAGCTGCACCCAAAGTACTGAAAATAAAAGTACACCGAAAATTTGTGAAATTACAATATGCTATTTCCCAAGCCTATATCCCGGCAAATGACCGTGGATAAGGAGACCACTTCGTGAAAGGGACCACGTTAAGAAGGTCCCATGAGCGGTCGTCGTAGACAGGTTTCACTGTATATGGCATTTTGGAAGTCACGTCTCCGCGTGGTGTGCGACGCTACCTGCCTGAAACCCCTTACAAAAGATTTGTGAACCTGCCCAGTAGACATAATCATGTAGGCAGGCTATGCCCTGTCGTTTTCTGATTTAATTTCTCGTTGGCAGTCTGTGCGTTCCTCTGCCATGCTTCCGGCATGCTTCTGCTGCTCGTACCCCGTACACACCGGCAGAGATACGGAAGGACAAGCAAGCAGGGCGTACTTGGTTTGGTCATCTCGCACCAACCGCCAACCTTTCCGCTGACAAGAGACACAGTCCCTCCAGGTAAGCATGCCCTTCTGTTAGCTGTTTACTCCTGACAAAGTGAGCAGTGAGCCATCGTGTTATTGTTGACGTGCTATGGGTTCCCCGCCTCCAAGTCCGCTTTTATCGGAGACTTAGATGGTTTGTTGCATGGCTGACGTCACGGTTTAGTTACCATGGATACGTATCCATACTCAGCCGCAGATCCAGGTCAGCATAGTGTAGACTTGGTCTTGGAATCCACCTTGCACAACCCCAGTAATGTACAGTCGCGGCCAAAGAAATCCGATCGACGAGTCAGAAGTAGCGCCGCGTTTCCATTTCAACTTTTTGAACTTTTTGAAATGCATCATGCCAACTCCGAAACCCATCCGAGGGCCGCATGCGCAAGGGCCCGCATGGGCTGCTTTCGGGACGTGATTCGGATTTCTTTGGCGACCACTGTAGTTTCAACATGGCAGATGGCTGTCATCTGTTAAGTTGTAGAAGTGATGATGACCGCCACTGGAGTCAAAATACGCTTATGGTAAATCCGGCTGCTGGTTGAAATATCAAGATCGTACTCACTAGGATCATTTCTATAGTACCAAGAGTACATAACCCAAGAGTGTGCAACTGCCTGCACAACCTCTATGCTGTGCTGCGACGGCAGAACTTCACATCACGTGACATGGTTCAAAAGGTTATGCTGGCAAACAGTGCAAAGTGACCACAAGAGAGTTGTACCCAAAGCTGGGCTGCGTACAACCCAGTATCTATCATGCACTAGAGTGCACGGGTTCATCACGTGATGTGAAGTTCTGCCGTCGCAGACCCCATAGCTGGAGTTGCACACTCTTGTTTATCTACTCTTGATAGTACGTATCCCGTCTTTGTTCTCCTACAAAGACAACCGCATAAGCCATGAGGATGACATGTAGCATCCTCCCTTGAGCGGGAAGCACACCAGCACGACAGCATCCATGTTTGGATGCAAGAGTGCTGGTGATTGATGACCGTTCTGCACTGTCCTTCTGGTCAGTGTGGAGGGGGAGGCTGCTTTATGAGTGGCTCCTTTTTATTGAAGCCAAAGAAAGTCTTTCACTTGTATATCCTATGAAGCTACCCTTCAACTACAAGAAACCTAGTTGAAATACCTCCCCATGTTGCCGAGGGATAAAGCTCATGCACATTTTCGTTGCGCTACCCTTCCTCTTATTGTAACTTTCCGCACCTGAGCCTTCCAAGCTGACAGGTTGTTGGTTTGTGCCTCGTAGATGTGTTTGAGCTAGGCGTCAGTTCATTGAATGGATCAGTACCGCTGTCAGTTTTGTGCCTTGTCGCACTACCTGACTGTATAATTACGATCTTGTTACCTTGATGGTCTGTTACTCATAACTCGTACAATCAGGTTACTACTCAAAAAGGTTTCCTTGGAGACAAAAGCTATAGAACCCGAAAGTAGCACAAACTTCAGGCTGTTCGTAATTCATTGTTCTTGCTCTCGTTTCCTCTTACCTGTGAATCACCTGAAGTGAAGGCACAAAAGTTTACTCGTGAAAACCATGCTGTTGAAGAGCGTAACGTTTGTGCTACTACTCAGCATTATAATGCTACAAGCCTTGTCTCCGTGGCGCAATCGGTTAGCGCGTTCGGCTGTTAACCGAAAGGTTGGTGGTTCAAGCCCACCCGGGGACGACCTTAACTTTTTTAAACAAATATTTCAGAAATCGAGGCGAAAAGACGAAAATGTTGAAGGTATCTGTCCGTTCCGGGGACGCGGGTGTGTTATCTTTTTGGAAACTTTGTTCCTATCGCCTATAGAGCTTTTTCAAGGATGTAGCGCCATGCCCCCGAGCGGCGCTCACCCCGATATTGTGGTGAACATGTCTCATTTGAAAACGCATTGAAAAGTATACAAAATGTGACAGGTTTGTCTCCAGCGGGGCTTGGAGTGATACTGAAGTTTGTTCTTTTCCACCCAAGCCATGAGGAATGGCTTCCTGGCAGCTGCTCTGACTCGACACGAGTGTGGGATATCAAGTTGAGCGCAATCCTAGTGCTTCCTTCACCTCCAGGCGCCCTTTCTGGTACAAACTGAACGTGATTTGGACTTCACCTGTTCACCAGGGGTTCAAAACAATTCTCGCACGTGATGCCAAAAATCGACCGTTGGTTTCGCCTTGAAAAACTTTACGGATGCTTGGGGGACAAATAAAAAAAGATGACGTTCCCACACCGGGAATTGAACCCGGGCCGTCTGGGTGAAAACCAGAAATCCTAACCACTAGACCATATGGGACTTGCACACTACTCCCTGTCGGAATAAGAATCTCAAACACCCACACTCAACCTAGATGTCACTTGTTGCAGTTTTAGTTTAGTTTTTGTTTTAGTTTTATTCCAAGCAATGCATGGCTGGGCTGGGGTAGCCAATGACCACTTTGCGTGGCGATTGCGGGGTTATTATAGCCAACCACGTCCAGAAATAGCAGTGTGTCGGAAGGTGTTCAAGCTGGGTAGTATCCAGAGTCCATACTCCCCCAGAGTGAGCAACTTCACTGATCAGATCTGGGACGGCGAAATCCGTGTTGCACGACGTCATAGTGTGACATCATGAGCAGGGGAAGTGTGTTCCGTGGTGGACCGCGTCGACGGAATGACGCAAGTCCGACCCCCCCCCCCCCAAAAAAAGACGTACATCACGGATTACGCCGTCGCACAACCCCATCCCAGTTGCACGCTCTGGGGGTTATGGACTATTGGTAGTGTGGAGCAAATGGGTACGAACAACCATGGGCGTAGTAAAATGTATTTTACTACTCCCTGGTACGAACAACCATGGGCGTCTGGAGCATGTGGGGTTTTGAGGTGAACACTGTTGGAAATTTGCATTGTACCTTTAATACATGTATGTATTAAATGAAGTTGTTTTGCTTTGTTCGGGGGCAAGGCTACCTACAGTTTTTTTCTCCAAATGCAAAGTTTTTGTTTGTTGGTGGGTGGGTTATAGCCAGGGAAGAAAGGACCGTGTCGAGTGCTGGAGCCGACTCGTTCGTGAGCTGTGGCGAATGTTAGCGAATCACGGTGTTCGATTGGAGATAGTGGCACATGCAGATCAGACACCTCACAAGGAGTGCATGCACTAGGATATTTTATTTTATTTTCTCCTTTCAGGACATGAGCCTCCTACTTCAAAAAGTAGCTTCATCTTCCTTTCTGTAACATAGAGCTGTGCAGTGCTTTGCAACAAATTGAAATCACAGATCACAAAACCTGCTCCTGTCTACCTTTTCCCAAGAAACAAAGTTACGGATTAGGACATGGACATGATGCATATAACGCCGGTCAAAGCCTGGTCTTCAGGTTACGCCCTTTCTAATGATGAACCGTATGAGCACTCGAGCGCTGCCTGGAAAAACTCACTGTGAACTCGAAGAAATATTCCGCGCGAAAGCAAGAAAAATGACAACTCACTCGCGTTGACACAGCCATGGACGTCTGGTTTACAACAAACGAGTTCTTCCTCGTATCGATAATGGAGTCAGAGAGGACACGTCGAAACGAAAGTGTTGTAAATGTTGACGAGCGGCATGGGTCCCAATTCGTTTTGTGACCAAAATAGTTTCTTTGAGCTGCGATGCAATTTACTCACCGTGTGACGAAAACGACATCGACACGGACTCATTCCCAAGGCCATGACTTGGCAAAGCTATCCGTGTGACTTCGACGAGAAAAGCAAACGCTTGTGAACGCTGATAGAAGACGGCGTTGACTGCTAAATTCAAATAAATTGGCGATCTTGAAATACTAAAATAAATCTCAAAAAGCTACAGCGCGATGACTTCACTCACACCATTGCAGTGTTGTGGGTGTGTTCACATGGCGTGAGCCAGTCAAGTGTCAGTCAGTTCGGCAGGAAGCGCGAGCTCCAACAACAAGTCGTTTGGTGCAGCCAGCTTCTTTGTCTTGTACCAGCTTGATCACAAAAACAATGAAAAAAAAGTTTGACTTGAAGATAGTTTGGGATTTGAACTAACAACTACATGGTCAGCAGACAGCATTCATAACCACAAAGCCAAAAAGGATAGGATAAATCGTGGGTTTAGATAAAAAATCGATACTGGCTTCCTGGGCAAATTGTAAACCATGGGAAAAGGCCGGAAACCTGGCCGAAATTCTAACTCCTTAACGGTTGGTCCAATTGTTCCGAAACCTTCACAGAACAATTTGCCGTGTCCTAACAAGCCATTCTATGTACTTTGTTGTCCAAATTTCCCTTATCTTCATACTTTTTAAGACCCAAACCTGATTGTAAATCTTTTTGAAACAGACTATAAGATTACTGCTCAAGGGACCTTCACAAGGTGGTCTCTGTTACCAGGTGGTCTCCTTATCCAAGGTCATTTGCCTGGGCTTGGCAGGTGTTGGTGCTGGTTGCAGTTGTTTTCTTTGACAGTTGGTCGCCTTTTCTGAGTGGTTACATTGACAGTATTTTACTGTGCATAGATATCTTCTTTTGCAAGTTATTGTGGAAAGTGGAACTCTCAGCGGCTCCACCAGTGCTTCACGGACACGGTCAGTGCAGCACTGTGATAATGTAGATCCATGCATGTCACCAGAGGGAGAGGTGGGGTTCTGAGAATGCGGATGAACCCTACTCAGGTTTTCTGCCAAGCGGCCATCCGTAAATACCGATATTTTTTTAAAGATGGTATTTGTTCATTTCTTCCACCCCCCTCAAAATGAACATACACACGTTTATGGAGGGGATCAATATTTTTTAATGAAGTGCAATCTGATTCTCCTCGTGAAACATGTGCAGCAGCAGCAACTCCAAATTCACGGTACACTTACAGACGTCGGTTTACACTGCCGCCACCGCCGCGATCGCACAACCTTGCCATAGCCACATGTACACTGTATCCAGTTGATGAGGTGGAGTTTCAATTTCCGTAGGTCATAACCTACTTGTCCGTACTGGTCCCACCCATATCTAGAGATATCAATATTAATTTTTCACAAAGACGAGACGAACAGGGCCCAACCCCCCCCCTAAACGAACCAATATCTTCTCTCGAAATATTGATATTTGTGGACGACCCCAACAGCTTTGAAAAATCGATAAAGGATCACCCTCGTATATTAGGCATGTACTTGTTAACAAACGCAGCACGTAAGCTGCTGAAAGTTTGGATGAGGCCATTCGTACCATTGCTCTCCCTCTCTACAACTCTGACACAATGGTGAAAAGAGCAGTAGGAAACGACCTCATACAGTGAAACCTGCCAAGGCGACCACTCGGATAAGGCGAGCACCTGTCCTAGAAGACCACTGCAGCAAGATCCAGGGTAAGTACTGTAAAAGCAGAAATTTTCGGTGGTGTAATATTTTCGGTATTCTCCAAAACCGGCGGTTCAGTGGAGGGAAATTTTCGGTAAAACCCGTTTTCCAGGTAAAGTGTACTAGTGCTAAATGTACACAGTACTGGCGGTAGTACCGAAATTTTCGGTGCGTTTTATTTTCGGTAAACATTGTCGGCACCGAAGTTACCGAAAATAAAACACCACCGAAAATTTCTGCTTTTACAGTACTCTAATTTCAGAAATTTTCGGTGCTCAATTTTTTCGGTACGAGGGCAAAAGGCCAGGCTAGGTGAACAGAAATGTTCGGTACAGAGAAGCAGTTCCCTATTGGATTATGCGTGTTTAGTGTTTGTTCGGTGTATTGAACTTTTAGGTATGAAACAGCTGCACCCAAAGTACTGAAAATAAAAGTACACCGAAAATTTGTGAAATTACAATATGCTATTTCCCAAGCCTATATCCCGGCAAATGACCGTGGATAAGGAGACCACTTCGTGAAAGGGACCACGTTAAGAAGGTCCCATGAGCGGTCGTCGTAGACAGGTTTCACTGTATATGGCATTTTGGAGGTCACGTGTCCGCGTGGTGTGCGACGCTATGTGCCTGAAACCCTTTAATACAAAAGATAAAAAAGTGAACCTGCCCAGTAGACATAATCATGCAGCCAGGCTATGCTCGGTCGTTTCTGATTTAATTTCTCGTTGGCAGTCTGTGCGTTCCTGTGCCATGCTTCCGGCATGCTTCTGCTGCTCGTACCCCGTACACACCGGCAGAGATACGGAAGGACAAGCAAGCAGGGCGTACTTGGTTTGGTCATCTCGCACCAACCGCCAACCTTTCCGCTGACAAGAGACACAGTCCCTCCAGGTAAGCATGCCCTTCTGTTTGCTGTTTACTCCTGACAAAGTGAGCAGTGAGCCATCGTGTTATTGTTGACGTGCTATGGGTTCCCCGCCTCCAAGTCCGCTTTTATCGGAGACTTAGATGGTTTGTTGCATGGCTGACGTCACGGTTTAGTTACCATGGATACGTATCCATACTCAGCCGCAGATCCAGGTCAGCATAGTGTAGACTTGGTCTTGGAATCCACCTTGCACAACCCCAGTAATTTACAGTCGCGGCCAAAGAAATCCGATCGACGAGTCAGAAGTAGCGCCGCGTTTCCATTTCAACTTTTTGAACTTTTTGAAATGCATCATGCCAACTCCGAAACCCATCCGAGGGCCGCATGCGCAAGGGCCCGCATGGGCTGCTTTCGGGACGTGATTTGGATTTCTTTGGCGACCACTGTAGTTTCAACATGGCAGATGGCTGTCATCTGTTAAGTTGTAGAAGTGATGATGACCGCCACTGGAGTCAAAATACGCTTATGGTAAATCCGGCGGCTGGTTGAAAAATCAAGATCGTACTCACTAGGATCATTTCTATAGTACGTATCCCGTCTTTGTTCTCATACAAAGACAACCGCATAAGCCATGAGGATGACATGTAGCATCCTCCCTTTAGCGGGAAGCACACCAGCACGACAGCATCCATGTTTGGATGCAAGAGTGCTGGTGATTGATGACCGTTCTGCACTGTCCTTCTGGTCAGTGTGGAGGGGGAGGCTGCTTTATGAGTGGCTCCTTTTTATTGAAGTCAAAGAAAGTCTTTCACTTGTATATCCTATGAAGCTACCCTTCAACTACAAGAAACCTAGTTGAAATACCTCCCCATGTTGCCGAGGGATAAAGCTCATGCACATTTTCGTTGCGCTACCCTTCCCCTTATTGTAACTTTCCGCACCTGAGCCTGACAGGTTGTTGGTTTGTGCCTCGTAGATGTGTTTGAGCTAGGCGTCAGTTCATTGAATGGATCAGTACCGCTGTCAGTTTTGTGCCTTGTCGCACTACCTGACTGTATAATTACGATCTTGTTACCTTGATGGTCTGTTACTCATAACTCGTACAATCAGGTTACTACTCAAAAAGGTTTCCTTGGAGACAAAAGCTATAGAACCCGAAAGTAGCACAAACTTCAGGCTGTTCGTAATTCATTGTTCTTGCTCTCGTTTCCTCTTACCTGTGAATCACCTGAAGTGAAGGCACCGAAGTTTACTCGTGAAAACCATGCTGTTGAAGAGCGTCACGTTTGTGCTACTACTCAGCGTTATATTGCTACAAGCCTTGTCTCCGTGGCGCAATCGGTTAGCGCGTTCGGCTGTTAACCGAAAGGTTGGTGGTTCAAGCCCACCCGGGGACGACCTTAACTTTTTTAAACAAATATTTCAGAAATCGAGGCGAAAAGACGAAAATGTTGAAGGTATCTGTCCGTTCCGGGGACGCGGGTGTGTTATCTTTTTGGAAACTTTGTTCCTATCGCCTATAGAGCTTTTTCAAGGATGTAGCGCCATGCCCCCGAGCGGCGCTCACCCCGATATTGTGGTGAACATGTCTTATTTGAAAACGCATTGAAAAGTACACAAAATGTGACAGGTTCGTCTCCAGCGGGGCTTGGAGTGATACTGAAGTTTGTTCTTTTCCACCCAAGCCATGAGGAATGGCTTCCTGGCAGCTGCTCTGACTCGACACGAGTGTGGGATATCAAGTTAAGCGCAATCCTAGTGCTTCCTTCACCTCCAGGCGTCCTTTCTGGTACAAACTGAACGTGATTTGGACTTCACCTGTTCACCAGGGGTTCAAAACAATTCTCGCACGTGATGCCAAAAATCGACCGTTGGCCTCGCCTTGAAAAACTTTACAGATGCTTGGGGGACGAATAAAAAAAGATGACGTTCCCACACCGGGAATTGAACCCGGGCCGTCTGGGTGAAAACCAGAAATCCTAACCACTAGACCATATGGGACTTGTACACCACTCCCTGTCGGGATAAGAATCTCAAACACCCACACTCAACCTAGACTCTAGGTAACTAGTTACAGTTTTAGTTTACTCCAAGCAATGCATGGCTGGGGTAGCCAATGACCACTTTTTGCGTGGCGACTGCAGGGTTTTTATACCCAAACACGTCCAGAAATAGCAGTGTGTCGGAAGGTGTTCAAGCTGTTAACCCTTTACCATCCGTGCGTACTTGAATCGATCTCTAGAGATCGATGGACATGCATACACTAAACCATTCGTAACTCGATCGATTCTTGGCGGAATTTAAAAAACTAAGTATCTAGGAAGGAGCCGAAGAGCTCAGCTTTCCATTGCATCAATCGGTGAAGAGCTGCGATGTCGCATTCCAAAGATATTACGCTCGACATTTCAGCCATGGCAAAAGTCGAATTTCTTTCCGAGTGACTGACATTGAGCGGGGAATTTCCCCTCTCCTGACATGCTGAGTCACTTTGGCATGCTTTGAGCGCATGGACAGCATGAAAAGGAACTCAAGCAAAAAAAATTGGAATGTTTACGATGCAGGAGCGAGAAATGGCTGGCGAGGAGACAATTTCCTCGTATATCCAGCGATGGGTTCTTATTCGCAGCTCCCTGGCGCTGGATATGTGATCTCGGTAGTGTCCTGTTTGAGCTCAATGTACGCAGCTCGTGGAGAGCTTTCCAGAATGCCCAAGATTGTGAAAATTGGTTGATTAGAACCGAAGATATTCTCAGAATAAGGTGGGAGTTTTTGCATTTGGGACTGCTGGGGAATTTTGGTCGGATGGTAAAGGGTTAAACTATCTATCCTGTTGAGCGTTTACTAGTAGTAGGGAATGGGATCCCTCTGTTTACAGGTTTCAGAAGTGTGACATAAAATCATCGACCATGACTACATGTAGTATCAAGAGTCCATAATCCCCCAGAGTGCGCAACTTCACTTATCAGATCTGGGACGGAGAAATCCGTGTTGCACGACGTCTTACTGTGACATCATGAGCAGGGGAAGTGTGTTCCGTGGTGGACCGCGTCGACGGGATGACGCAAGTCCGACCCAAAAAAAAGAGACGTACATCACGGATCTCGTCGTCGCACAACCCCATCCCAGCTGCACACTCTGGGGGTTATGGACTATTGGTAGTATGGAGCAAATGGGTAAGAACAACCATGAGCACCTCCAGCATGTGGTGTTTTGACATGAACACTGTTTGGAAATTTGCATTGTACCTTTAATACAATCATGTATGTATTATAATAGCTATAAAGAGAACAAATTCTGCTGTCATCGCCACACTACAACAAAGTCATGAAGGTTTACCAAAATCGATTTTCTTGTCACAATCATCAGTGGAAAGCCGTGACTGAAGAGTAACCATGCTGAATAAATGATTAATATACATTCAATAATGTGTTACGAGAACAAAACAAAAAGTCATGAAGGTTTACCAAAATCGATTTTCTTGTCACAATCATCAGTGGAAAGCCGTGACTGAAGAGTAACCATGCTGAATCAATGATTAATATACATTCAATAATGTGTTACGAGAACAAAATAAAGTGCTAAAATAGAATGAGGGAAGGTGAGACAATAGAAGTGAAGTGAGAGCTAAGTGCAACAGGGGTGAGGAACTAATTACAACGCTAGAACTGTGTATTGAGACAAACAATCATGCTGTGCACCTACGAAAACAATCTTAACGCAACTACATGTTTCTTCTGCTTACAAAGATCAGGCTTATGCAAACGAATACAAACAGCCTCAAGTACTTTCAACTGACTAGCGTACCGTGCACGACAAAGAACAGAAAAACTAAAATCATCATACACCTGCAGACACTTAGGGTGAGACAACAGATGAAGAGGAATCGGATGGTGATTGTGATCGTAAGAAGTCTGCCGTTTTTCTTCATCTGTTTTCTCACCCTAAGTGTCTGCAGGTGTATGATGATTTTAGTTTTTCTGTTCTTTGTCGTGCACGGTACGCTAGTCAGTTGAAAGTACTTGAGGCTGTTTGTATTCGTTTGCATAAGCCTGATCTTTGTAAGCAGAAGAAACATGTAGTTGCGTTAAGATTGTTTTCGTAGGTGCACAGCATGATTGTTTGTCTCAATACACAGTTCTAGCGTTGTAATTAGTTCCTCACCCCTGTTGCACTTAGCTCTCACTTCACTTCTATTGTCTCACCTTCCCTCATTCTATTTTAGCACTTTGTTTTGTTCTCGTAACACATTATTGAATGTATATTAATCATTGATTCAGCATGGTTACTCTTCAGTCACGGCTTTCCACTGATGATTGTGACAAGAAAATCGATTTTGGTAAACCTTCATGACTTTGTTGTAGTGTGGCGATGACAGCAGAATTTGTTCTCTTTATAGCTATTATAAAATTGTTGTCTCCACGTCGATTATTTATGTATGTATTAAATGAAGTTTTTTTGCTTTGTTCGGGGGCAAGGCTACCAACAGTTTTTTCTGCAAATGAAAAGTTTTTGTTTGTTGGTGGGTGGGTTATAGGCAGGGAAGAAAGGACCGTGTCGTGAGCTGTAGCGAATGTTAGTGAATCACGGTGTTCGATTGGAGATAGTGGCACATGCAGGGCAGACACCTGACAAGGGGTGCATGTGCCGGGATATCTTTTCTCCTTTCAGGACATGAGCCTCCTACTTCGAAAGGAGCATCATCTTCCTTTCTGAAGCATAGAGCTGTGCAGTCACACTTTGCAACAAATTGAAATCACAGATCACAAAACCTGCTCCTGTCTACCTTTCTCCAAGAAACAAAGTTACGGATATGGACATAATGTATATTTTTGCTAACGGTTCAAGCCTGATCTTCAGGTCACAGTTTACATATGTCCTTTCTAAATGATCTTGGACATCTGAAAATTCTCTCTACCCTAGACGGGTACCTAGCATGTGTTTATGCAAACAAGAGTTCACGGTTGACCAGAGCTGCCAAATAGTTTTGCCCAGCTTGTGGTAGCTGCTTTAGCGAGTCATCTTT